TTCTGACCACCTTGTGACTTTGGGGAGGGGTGGGGAGGGGGGGTCGGTTACCCAGGGACTTAGAAAACAGCAACAACAACAAAGACAAGAAAATAAGAAAATAAGACTGGCGTAGTTTAAGAATTTTTGAATCAAGGGTTCCCAATGTTTCGCCGCATGTCGGCTGCAAATAAGAATGAATTTTTCCTTCAATTCACGGAAAAAACAATGCACCGCGTTTCTTCATATCTCTTACGCGTACAAGTGGAAAACTGGGGTAACCATATATTCTATTTCCTGAAGATATTTTTATCATTTAATCGGGGTGAATGATAAAAGTTTCGCATTGTTCAAGGCTTCCCTATCTTCAGGGGCACCCAACGAGAATATAGTTCAAAACCACTTAAACATAGCATTGTTGCACCCTCCCCCTAGATCCTCCCCTTGAATTGTGTGGTGAAGTGCGTGTGAGAGGTAAAGTTTATAAATTTTTCGTCTTATTGATAGGCAGTAGAATATGGCGGATAATCAAAGTAGCAACCTCGAATTGCCTCCTCGACCAGAAGACTTCCAATACATGTGTGTTGCTCTTTACGGTGGAGATACTCTTCACCTTATTTGTGGGGGTGAACCGGAGGCAGCTATTATGCGCAAGGTTATACAAGAAGCGTGGCCCAAGGGCATTCAAAAAGAAGCTTTTAAGCTCAATGGAGTTTACGAGTTCAAGTTAAAAGGCAATCCTTTTAGCGCTGCGACTTCGTCAAGCGATGCATTAGGATGTAGAAGAATGGCGGAAAGAATGTTGTATATGCTGTACAAGAATGGATGGAGGCTTCACATATCGTGCAACATATATCAGAGACTTGATCTGGCGACGTGGATTTTCAAGAGAGTTCCACCACCGGTAGATTTCTCACCTCAGCCTTTTCTTGTTGTTGGGTTGAGTGGTTTTGACAGTTTAATGATACTCAATGCGCCAAGTGAGCTCCACCAAGTCTTTAAAGATGCCATAGAAAAATCATGGCCAAATGGAATACAGAAATGGACTTACAAGAATAATGTACTGATGATAAAGTTAAAAGGCTTTCCATGGTTTTCAGAGAGCTCAGACGCGGTTCACTCAGAAGCGATGCTGCAGACAATTATAAGAGATCTGATACCGAAACAATGGAATTTGTATGGAAATTCCAACATCCGAAGTGAGAGCAACACTTTTTTCTTTGATTACCATCCAAACTTAATACCAGAAGGGCAGTCGCCTCCGGAGCAGTTCACGGTCAGCTTTAACAGTTCCGACTTACTGAGGGTCATCGGTGCTCCCGACGATTTCGTTTCCGTCATCCGAAGTACCATCCGGTCTGTTTGGCCAAAAGGCATTGAGGAAGAATCCCGTTACGCAGATAGTTGGCAGTTCAAGCTACGAGGAAGCCCATGGTGTGCTTCTGGAAGCAAAGGAGTAAAATCCAAACTTCTGGTCATTAAAGTGATGGAAGCCCTCTTACCCTTTGGGTGGGGCCTTGTTGCTGCAATTGACAGCTCCAAGAAGATGTCTGATAAGAGCTCTCTGCTTTTTAGACAGTCCCAGTCGAGACAAGCCTCAGTTTTCTGTCTGAGCGTCAATGGCGATAACAATCTTTGGCTGATCAACACATCAGACGACATCATGAAGGTATGCAACCCCCGTCCAATAGTATTTTGTACTTACAATACATGTCTCCCTATTTAATTGGTTCGAACTCGAATGGACTTTTAAAAATTGTCAAACTTTATCTGTTTCGTGGTAAAAAAATTTTCGGACATTTTCTATAAGATTTAGTTTGAGCCCAGATTGTTCGGTGTTATTGAATTGCAAGGCATTTTTAAAGGATCAAAGGAACTTCATGATCTGTTTTGATTATCTTTAATTTCCACCCAAAAGACTAGACCGCAGTAATGAGAGTAAAAATTCGTGGCCATTACATACGATTTTACCACAGGCACGTATGAGTAGCAAGACACGTCGTAGATGATATATAACTTTCGCTGTTAAATCAATCAAGAGAAAAACGGAAACGTAAAACTTTTTGTATGTCTTGGAGACATGTAATGATCCGATTGGGTCTTGTCCCAACAAAATTGATTTTAAGGGCCGGTCTTATTTGATCCCTTATATTTTTGTTATACTTCTCTAGCTATGCAAAGAGGTCATCCAATCACAATACGCCCCTGGAACTCAATGGGTGCAGCAACATGTTGACAACATGGAGTTCTCACTGAAGGGCAAGCCGTGGACTCCCGGGGAGGAAGGTCGCCATGACGGAATCCACGCCAGAAGTATGCTGTGTCATTTAATCAGCGCTCTCGCAAGTCGTGGCTGGCAAGCAGTAGTGGCAGCTGATGTCTCCGCCAGGCATGCAGACGATGATGACAGCCGATATGATCCAGTTGATATCGATAGTATATATTTTATGTACGATCCTGCTACACCCCCCTTGGTCCCGCCGTTACATGTGCCGTACCCTACACCTTATGGCATTCCTCAGCAAGATGCTCCGCCTCCGTCCTTTGATCCTCCATCTTACGAAAGCCTGTCGTAATACTTTACCAGTGGTTCTTATCGCCGGATTACGTTTTCGACAGGGCAATTCACGGAAGCAAAACACGTACTATCCAACTTAATATCACAAAAGTAAGAACACGAGACTATGGTATCTAAGATGAAGATGGATAACCAACGATCCGTAAATTACGATATATACGCAAAGTTATTACAAATCTTGCCATTTCATCCTTTATTACTGTTGCTTTGTTCTTGCAAAGTATGACGCAAAGTTTTACAAATTAGAGGGGCCGTGACGTCACAGCGCCTTTAAGATAACTATTAGAAATTACAGTGGAACCCTGCCTTATGGTCACCTCCTTATAACGGCCACTTTTTTTCGGCTCAGCAAAATGGCCATACATTTCCTTATGAAAAACCTCCGTTTAATGCGGTCACTCGTTAACACGACCAACGGCCACATGTTAAAATCTCAAACAGTAGAATTTCTTGCAATTTCACCCCGTTAATACGGTCACCTGTTCAAAATTTAGGAAATTTAAATGCCTGTGACATGTCAATTTATTGATTTAGTACTCTGAGCCTGTTCTTGTACTGTTTTTAGACTACAGTACACTACAAGTGCACTTGTTGGGATTCTGTAGCCGAATTTTAAATGTGTTTTATTTACTAAAGGAATTTTTTTATAGAGTTTCAGTTACTCGGTACGCGGTATCTCCGTTGTTTATTTTAATGAGAACAGAAATGCGAAAGCGATGTACGATGTACTTTGTCATTACGTCCCTCAAGTCATGAAATTTGAGCCTGCCCCGATAATATGGTCACCACGTTAATACGGCCATTTTTTTTTTACCCATGGACGATCGTATTAACGGGGTTCCACTGTATGACAAAACTGTGACAAAGTTCGTTCATTTTGTAATAAGACTATTTACGTGCAAAAGCCCCGCAGAGGGGAGATTATTAATTTTTATAGCTTCCACATTATTATTGATGGACAAAAGTAAGGGAATTATTAATAATAAATAGTTTCTCAAACACATGTGTTCATTAAGATCTTTACTAAGTATAAAAAACCTGCTACCCAGGCTATCTAAGAAATATCAGTGTCTATTCTCCGGTCTACATCCTAGAGTCTACGCGGGAATTACGTTTTGTCTCTACCGTCTCCGAAAACTAATCCTTATTATCTTCACTCCTTTTCGTACATGGCTTCCAAACTATTGAACTGTCTTCCGGATTCTTTTAGAACACCTAACTTTTCTGATTTCTCCGGCAAGATTCTAGAGTATGACTCGTTTTAGAGCTTAAAGTTTTAGAATGTTGTAATTTCACAATTTTGGCAGTATTTAGAACTATACTTGTAACTCGAAGATACCAGCTTATTTTTAGCTACTCTACATTCGAGATTAAATGAAGTATACATGTTTATTATATAGACACGAGTGTTTTACTGGAAAATATACCACTCGTAAAATTCATAAAAACTACATCCGGGACCCGAGTGGTTTATTTTCCATAATCTCACACGTGAGTTTATCGATGACGTAATTTCGGTAGTTTCCCTCTATTATTTTATTTATTTTTGTCTATATAATAAAAAGAACATTACACGGTGGCTTGAAGATATGAATTTTATTTTCTCGTTGCAAAAACAATATTTTACTCACTCGCTGCGCTCGTTCGTAAAATATTGTTTTGNTATTATATAGACACGAGTGTTTTACTGGAAAATATACCACTCGTAAAATTCATAAAAACTACATCCGGGACCCGAGTGGTTTATTTTCCATAATCTCACACGTGAGTTTATCGATGACGTAATTTCGGTAGTTTCCCTCTATTATTTTATTTATTTTTGTCTATATAATAAAAAGAACATTACACGGTGGCTTGAAGATATGAATTTTATTTTCTCGTTGCAAAAACAATATTTTACTCACTCGCTGCGCTCGTTCGTAAAATATTGTTTTGCCACTCGAAATAAAATTCATATCTTCGCGCCACCGTGTAATATCCTCTATGTATGCATGTACAACGCTTTTAGTTGAAATGCTCACTCCGTTTTAGTCTATATAGAACAGAGAACACTGTAAGCGGTTTTCATAAGTTGTAACTGGAAAAGATTTTTCGTAGAATGCTCACGATAGATTGTTGAATGGGTTTCATTTTCCAATGGTATATTAGTGGATTGACATACACAAGCGTCATTGTATACAATAATAAATGTTCAATCAATCTACCCTGTTTTCCGGTTCAGGAATGGCAGACCAAGGCTGCAACAATAGAGTTTTGTCGTAGGTAACAAGTGACAACCCAAGCGGTCCCTTTCGGAATTTTCTGTTTTACGTCATCCTAACCATTTCTTAATTGCGGGTGTGCAGCCTTCAGCATTGAAACGTCATCATTACCCAAGATTCTGCGCGGCCCCTGTCCAAGCAAATCGAGATTTTTCTGGTAGACCGACTGCATATTTTAACTGCAAGTACTTTCCTTTATATACGCACGAGCTACTAGGATGCCTCTTTGATTTCGCCTTCTGGGCGAAATCCCTGCGGGGGCACTGAACATAGAAAAATGCTTAGGTTTTTTTAAAACCAACCCCACTCCCATTGTCATAAGACTGTAGCTGCGAGGGTTACTGATGTTTTCTGTTGTAGTCAAAGTTGATAATCACGACAAGTTTAGCCTATTCCAGGCGTTCAGATCGCGGAGATAGCGCAAAGAGAGGCGAGCAGAAAAAGAAACAAGGTGATTTTTCTCTCGCTCTCTTCCCTCGCGCCGCCCTTCACTATCCGAACGCCTGAAACATGCTACAACAAGTTGAGCAGAGTATAACAAAAAACGTTCCTTCTTACATTGCTAATTTGATTTTGAATTTCCTTATTGATTTCGTTAGTTGTGTCTTGGATTCATATTTCGCAGAACGTTCAAAATAGCCTTTCGAATTTGTTTCATCTTCCAACAGTATATCAGTGGATTGAGAGACGAATTAAGAAACACCAGCGTCAAAGTATAGATTTCAAAATTATCATACAGGGTATCTTGAGATCCATGGCTGATAGAGGCTATCTGTAGACAGTTTTGTGGTAGGTAACACGCCAAAAACACAAGGTACACGTAAA